TTATTTTAAAAATTATTCCATAAGTTTTTATTTCTTTTTGTTGCGTGCCCCCCGCAATGTACGCTCATGTTGTGTGTATTGTTTCATTATGAAATATGAATACTAAACACGTTTTGTGTTTCACGTTTTCATTCCGTTTATATCAAATTTCTGACTCAAGAAAGTTTCTAAATTTATTTATCACATCTTGTGGTATAAATTTGGAGAGTAAGATCAGTTTTAAACATGCATATTTCATGCTCAAAATAATATAAATGATTATTCACTAGAATATATAACCTGCTCACGGACTCGGCTTTTTCATATCTGATTTAGTAGTCATAGGCTTATAGACTATCGTATCCATTAGTTAGACTAGTCTTACTTATTTTGGACAAATTCTTTTAGCTCTCAACCTTAGAGTGTTATTTCCAGTTGTGAATAACGATATTTTTCCATTCATATAATTATATGTAACATTTCAAAAATATAACATTAACAAGCAAACCTTTCATACAACCTTGCTACCATTTATTTTAGAGGAGAAGCAAATAATTCTAAAAACAATTCTCTACCGGCCAAACAACTCCCAAGCCACAACTCGGAAGAAAAAAAAATGCATTACATAGTAGTGGAAAGCTTTATGTAAATATACATATTGAGAAATAGCATCCTGTTCGCTGTAGTATAGTTATTAGCAATCCTGCCTTTCACTCTAGTGACTCGAACCACAAGCATGATTGCTCTTGATACCCAACACAAAATAGAAGAGACATATCCTAACTTTTCGAGAACAAGCATGTCCCTTTCCATTTAATCTTTCCACAAGGAGGATTTAGAAAAAGAAACTTGTCATTCTATGGAAACTTATGATCGTAATAAAACCCACATGCATGGAAGATGATTTTCCTTTATCTCTGTGGTACGGATGAGAATATAAATTCACTCAAGTATGATAAAGTTAGTGTTCAGAACAAAAAAGAAGCTGAAATAGTTTACTTGCCAAAAAAAAAAAAAAAAAAAAAAAAAGTGAAAGTTTGATGATTGAGTTTTTAGCTCCTGTGTGAAGCCAAAGTCCCATGAGATCAGCAAATCCCTTTGTACTTCGTTTGGACACTCATAGAAGAAACGCGTACATAGAGATGCTTCGTTAAAAGTGTCGACATGATTGCTTCAATGCCGCTGAAACCCTAGGTTTTATTAATGAATTAATGAAGCCTAATCGTTCTCAATATAGGATTGAAAACTCGTCAAGATTCGTGTTAACTCTAAAGATGAAAACAACGTTATCATTTTTAAACATTAGTTATTTTAAACTAAAGAAAATAATGATATATAAAATGAGTTACAGCGATAAAGACAGCGACAACTTTCCTACTATTGGTTTATTAATTATCCAAGATAAATGCATGATTAAAAAAGGGATTAGGCTTGTAAAATATAATGTAATGGAAAAGACGGCAATGCACAATTGTGGCGACACTATGAACTTGGAAAAACATAAAAGAAAAGAGGAGGGACTGAACAATGATAAGTTACAAAATTTTGACTATATATAGATCAGCAGACATATGGGTTTCTCACACCAAACTTAAAGTTAATTGACAAGAAAAAGAAAGTAGAGCAAAAAACAAGTTTGACAAAAAATCAAAAGCAAAAGAAATGGCAAAGAACATCAACTCCGTCAGCTTCACCGTTCTCCTGCTTGTCCTCTTGACGGCTTCCACGGGTATAAATTTAATGAAATTCTTTATTATACTGTTCTTTATATCATTTGCGGATGAACTTGATGAAGATGTCAACATGTAGAAATCCTCAAGATCGAGGCTGTATGCACCACGTTCTTAGGCGAGTGCGGGGCGGTGCCGTTCCCAGCTACAGAGAGCTGCACAACCTGTTGCACAAAAAAATACGGGAGCCTAGCCTGTAAGGGAGTTGTTGAGGGAAGCGACTTACACTGCCACTGCTACCAACTTCCATGAGGTTTTGAAATAACTTCATATAATTATTAAATGTAATATACTACTCGTGTTTTCACTCGGTGTGATTGTGAGGATATTGCATGTGTGTACATTTATGTTCAAGTTTCGTTTGCTTCCAAATAAAACATCAAAAGCAGAAGCTAATCACTGCTTTCCCCCAAGTGTATGCGATCATGTTGTTTCATTCTGAATACTAAACTCGTTTTGTGTTTGTGTTCCTCATTTCATTTCCGCCTACTTTCAATCTTTTGTCCCTGGAATTAGGAATTCTCTATCATTATTGACTACGTCTTATGGTATAAACGCATTAATTATGAGTTTGTGTCAAGAAATGTTCTCTAGAATATATAACCGGTTCACAGAACTCTGCGTCTTAATGCATTACAACACATTCATTTGATGTGGTTACGTGATTCATTGTGCACGCCGCATAAGATACATAAGGGAAGTTCATCCTCTGAACCAGAGGAGCCGATTCAAAGAAAGATAATAGAGGGCCTCATGCTGTTTCACTCTTATTTCTATATCCAAATTAAGTATACATAATTATGTGATTGTAAAATTTCCAATACCTGTTTCCGTCTTTGTTTTTTTAAATGTTTCACTTTGAATTGTGTTTGTAAAATTTTTTAATTCCTGTTTTCTGCCTCATAATTGTGTATTGATACATCGGCTTTGTGGTCTTAGAAACACATGCAAGTCGATATTCCTCAATACTCTTTTTCTCAGTTTTCTACTTGTGCGACCGATCAATCTCCTTTGCCCTTGATCACATTTTACAACATTTTTGCTAATGATGATATAAAATTAGCTAACTCATATACTCTCTGAGCTAAATGACTAAGTATGTTCTCCAGAGCTTTGACCTTTCCCGTTATATCTTAGCTCAACTTCTGCGTCAAGAGCTTAATTTTGAAATATTCAGCTCCAACATCATTCCAAGCTTAAGTTAGAAGAGATTTAGTATGTATTATAGGTTTACAGGTATTGTGGTTTGTTAAATAAGTTTTGAGAAATTTTCAAAAACAAGAAAAAATAGTATGAAACGAGAATTTTAATGAGGAAAATTGTGAAAATGATATTTTTTTACAATTTTTATGAATAACAGCATTATCATTCTAATTATTTTTATTTATGGACTAATGACAGACTAATGACTATAAAACCTTAACTACTAAAAAGAGAGCAATTGAATAATGCAGCCCTATGGATACGATAAAACGTGAGAGACAAATAACAATATTTATAGGTAAACGATTAGAGTTTTTGATAGTCGACAAAAACTTGTGGACGGCCCAAAATCAAAATCAACATTCTTAAAGTTTGTAATATGTTATCGAGAACCAAACTGAGTATTAAACCAAGATTTTGGTTAAATACGTTATCGGTTCATTTTAAGTATTTTATATACAAAAATCTCGGAAACTATTAGAATATATTAGAAGTTTTTTTATTAGGAATACTTAGGTAATGTTTAGTGCGATTGAATGAGAGAACTTTATTCTTCCCAATTACTTGGCAAATGATAGTATACTAGTTATTCACAATTATACAATCAGTAATACTAGTTGTACCAAGTTAATACTTTATTAATCAGTGATACTAGTGACTAGTTATCCACAATTATATATTTATCAGTAATACTATTTTTATCCAGTTGTTTTTCGCACGAACTCAAATTGGATGATTTAATGTTCAATTCATTCTAATCTACAATTGAATACGATTAAACTCAATTCAACCAATATAATTTATTTATTACTAATTTATAGTCTTAATCGATCATAAATCATGGTAAAACACACAATGTCTATAGCATTTGATTTTCAATTCTTTGACAACATAGTTTATCTCGATTTACAAATTTTGGTCCAGTTCAGTATAAGTTCCTACTTCTGACGGCGTCGATGGAAAGAAGGAGATTCGTCGGCAACAATGAAGGGGAGATAAAAATTGAGTGGAGAAAAGTGAGTGAAATTTTCTTTAAAAAAAAAAAGAAATTCAATTAAATTAATTTAATTTTTGATTAAATTCATTAAGAATAAAATAAAAAGTTCATGAAGCGTATATATATATTATTGGGAGATATAGGATATTATATTTTGAAAAAAAGGATATTTCAGATCATGACTCGTTTTACACAAACCTAACTTCTCCTAAATAGCGAGACATAAATGATAATTGATATCTTGACAGAAACAGAAGAACACTAGGTAACTGATCATGTCATAAATACTATACCTTGCCTCTTCAACTCCTGACACAGTTCTGTAGATACAGAACAAAGTTGCATAGAAAAAATCTGAAAATTGTTCTGTAGTTTAGGTTCCTCTATTCTCTTCTGTTTAGGAAGTGAGAGCCATAAGCTTCCACAATTGGCGACGCGAACTGAACGTAGCATATCCTTTCATACCGAGACTAACCCGCAAAGACCAAAAACGAAAGAAGCCAGTTTTTGGACTAAACGCAAAGATTAGAAAGGATAAGTGTTTCATACAGCCACGCGAACTGAATGTAGCATATACGATTCTCACCCCGCAAAGACCGAAAACGAAAGAAGCCATTTTCTCTCTATATCTAAGCTAGGCTTTTCTAATGTCACAATAGGAAAACACAAGTGTTTCAAACTCGGTACTCTTAGATCCCCATTCAATCTCCAACAAACGATAGAAACTCTAGATTCCACAATAGACATTATTCTCCCAACAAACTATACACGCATCCGAATAATTCGAAATCTGGAGTGAATCCATTATTCAATCAAGATGCTAGAGTGTGCAACATTACACTGAGCAAGAAACATGCGCAATCATACAAATGGAAGACACGAACTTCTAAGTCGCATTCTCCTTCACATTGTAAAAGGATTTATTGAAAAAACAACAGAAGATAATAGATTCATATATCGAAGAAACCTGATCGTCGAATCCTGCAATAGTCCTTGAAAGATTCATAAAATGTCAATGAGACTATGAACAATGGGGGTTGGGGATTCATTAAACCGGAAAGAACCGATTCGTACCGGGAATTTCACCGCATTCAAGTGGTTGGCACACCAGAAACTGAAGATACAAGAAGAGGGACAATCAAATGAGCAACATGAGCTTGATGGTCCTCAAGACGACCCTTAACACAATCTCCATCCCAGCGAACAAGTGTTGGTACTCCGGTTAGCTTAAACCGAGGATCAACTCTCCACGGATGAACCGGATTCCTCCAGGTCGGCCTATCTCCGGCGTAAGCCCTAATAAGATTCACTTCCTCCGCCGATTCCTCTAGATTCTTGTATATCACAGGTTCAGCTCTAACACAATCTGAATATCATTTACCAAAAACCATATATCAAAAGGATGAAAATTGGAGGAAATTGAGGAAAATTAAAAACCCTAACGGACCTGGACACCAGCTTCGATTGGTGGTAGGATCATCGTTTGCGAGGAAGAGAATGAAATTGATCTTGTTACGGTTTGATTCGTCTGATTTCAGTTCTTCTAACACAGATTCTAAGGTTGAAGGATTTGCGTCCCATTTCTTCAGCGTCATCTTAGTTTTTTGTTCCTTCGTTTGAAACTGATGATACCCATTTCTTCAGCAATTTAAAAGTTATTCGAATTCGTCTTTATTGGACCGCTTTACTCGATATTAAGGCCCATCTTTATAGAATTTTCAAAAGCATGTTGCATTTTTCAACTTTGTTTTATTCGTCCGAATAATCCCTTATATATTATATATTAAAGAGAAGCATTTTTAGGTATTTATAGTGATATTATTATACTGATATATCAATTCCACAATTATTTTTAATTAATTTAAAAAAAAAAATTTAGAATACTAGACTAATTACATGATATACCATTGTATATTTTAGGTTCATAAATATGTTATGTTTTATTTTCTAAATGAATTCCAATACTAGTTAATTCTAATATTATTATAATTTATTAATTCCAATACTAATTAATTCTAATATTATTGTTTTATTATATAACATTTTTAAAGTTTTATCTATATATATTTTATTATAAATTTATAATAAAATATATAATATTTTTCAATGTTTACTATTTTTATCATTCATAGCAAAATATATAATACTTTTAATGTTTACTAATTTTAAAAAAAATATGTTTATTGATTATTCATAAAATAATATTCTTATAAAAACAACTGAGAAATTAAAAATAATATTTTATTTTTCTCAAATATATAACAAAATATATAACATTTTGATAATGTTTACTACTTTTATTAGAAAATATATTTATTAATTGTTTATTAAAAATATTCTTATAAATCTAATAAAATAATTTATTAGAAAATAATTTATTTTTCTCAAAATCAATCAAAACAAATAAAAAAACTAATTTTATTTACATATTGTTATAATTATAGTATGCATGAAAATAATTGTGAAAATATATATAATACTTCAAGCTAAATATTTTTACGTTTATATCTTTTAACAATTCATAATAATATATACAAAAATATATTATTAAAAATATATGTTATTTTCGTCACAAGCATAAATTAAAAGGAAAAAAAAAAGTCATAATGATGAATTTCCAAAACTATTATAATAAATATGATTAATATTCAGATTTACTAAATAAAAAAATATGATATATTGCATTATGATTTAATTTATATGTGACTCTTAGATGATAAATATGGTATATAGCATTATTGCTTATTTTTTGGAAAGATTATATCAATATTAATTGTTTATTTTTTTAATTAATGTTTCATTTATCATATACAGTATCAAATTTTCAGCAAGATTTGTTCATGTTTTTTTTTTTAGTTTGTGGCTTTAAATCAATCAATTTAATTACTGTATTTTTCTTATAAATTGATAATATTGTGATTTCAATATTTTATTAATTTATAGAATTAAAAAAATATCAGTTTGGAATTAAATAAATTATTTATTAATAATTAATTAAAAAATTATATTTGTTTTAAAAGTTAATGATATCTTTAAATATTTTACTTTTAATTTGTAGATAAACCATATCATTATTTTAATTTTAAGAAAAACAAAACATCATATATTTATATTTAGTAAATTATCATAGTTATATATTTATATAAAATTATTTTATGGTAATTATTAATATATGAATTTAATGGAACTATATATTTATATAGATTTTCTTTAAAAAATATTATCTTATCGATTTGTATCATATTTTGAACAAGTTTAATTTGGGACTAGGAAAATTTATTAATTTATTTAAATAATAATATTTCATAGATAAGTAACAAACTATTTAACTAATAATATTTAATTATTTAAAAGTCAAAAGTAATTAAATATGTATATAAATATTGTATACCTAAATCTTGGATATTAGTAAAAATAACGAATCATATCATCATATTTTGAGCAAGTCCAATTTAAGACTAAGAAAATTAATTAATTAATTTAAATAATAATATTTAATAGATAAGTAACAAACTATTTAACTAATAATATATAATTATTTAAGAGTCAAAGGTAATTAAATATGTACGTAAATATTGTATACCCAAATTTTGGACATTGATAAAAATAATGAATCATATCATCAATTACGGGTTATATAAAATCTGTATGGTAACTTTATATTTTTATCCAGTTATATCATATGTTATGTATGCTACTTAATTTTTAAATTAATTTAAATTAATTTATATTACAATTAAATTATTTTATAATTCATAAAAAATAAAAATAAAATATTATATTATAATATTATATAAAATTCATATAAATTTAATTATATTATATTATATAATTTTAAAATTATATTAAATTTAAATAAATAATAATTATTTCACCATGTACAGAGTGCGGGTTATTACCTAGTTCAATAGTAAAAAGCCACATTGGCTCAAACAAAGAACTGAGATATAAAGTCATACGATTTGTAAAAAAAATACATAAGGCAAACCTTTTTTTAAAAAACATTGATTTATTACTTTTTTTTTAAAATCACTTTACAAATAATAGTATAGATAGATGAATCTAGATATTCAGACCTTAAATCATAATATACAGAAGCTTGAATATATATATATATATATATATATATGGTCTCTATGTAAATTGTAAATCAGTTCAGAAACAAATCTCGGTTACATCAATCAAAAGATCCCATAAAGATATATATGTCTTATTAATTATTTAATTCATTTTCTCCTAAAATATTTCTAAACTAGTTATCTTTTGTTATTTATAGTGGCAAGTAATAAAATATCAATTTGAATGTTAATTTTGTAAGAAAGATAATTTACCATAACATACGGTCCATTTTTTAGTATTCAATATAGATATATACTAGTGTGTGCTTGTTTATCTACAGGTTATATAACCAACCAAATATATAAATCAAAAGAAACACACACACAAAGGAGAGCAGAAACTTTAAAGAGAAAATATGAAGTTGGCTGCAATCTTCTTGGCTTCTTGTATCTTATTCTCCCTAGTCCCAAGCAACTTTTCACAAGGTCTTATATCATATTTAATTAAGATTATCATTTTGCTCACCATATTCCGGGTTAACCCAAACCGGCTTTGTTTCATTTAGTTGTTTTTTTTTTTACTGATTAAATTAGGTGAAGAACCAAGTGTCACCGCTGCGAGAAGGCCGTGGTGTCCATCGAAAAAGCAAGTGTTCAGTGGTTCGTGCTCAAGCGATGGAGCACAACAATGTCTAAATGACTTGTTAAGTACTTGGGATCCAAGTGTTAGGCTTAGCCCAATCTCCTGCAATTGCACTCCTCAATCCAACAACAATCGTCTCTGCAATTGTCCTAATATGATTTGCCCTTAAAACTTAACAAGACCCAAAACTTTTGTTCTAAATAAGACCCAACAACATTCCGTCTATTAATAAGACCCAGAAAAGTATCATTACAATAATGTTTTTAAAATTATACTCGCATCTCTAAATAGATGCGGAAACTAGTTTTTGTTTTGAGTGATTATTTGAATTATCAACGGTTCAACAAAAATTGAATTCACAGTTTGGTTTTTTCAAGTTTTTTTCTTTCTCTTGCGTACAAAATCAAAATATGCACATGCTCATCACAGGACTTGTACAGTTGTACATACCTTTATACATGCAAATACTCGACTATTATGGTTCATGGCATGCATCTACAAGTACAAGAACATCGATCCTGTCATATACGAATTTACAATTAGAGCTGTTTCGCTAGAACATTTTTACTTTTATTTTATTTCGACCTTATTTTTTCCATATACTTATGACTTTCACTTTTTATTTTTCAGAAGTTGTTTTCGTTCTTCTTCATTATCACTAATCAAAAAGAAAAGAAAATACACGGCCATAAAGCAGATTTGTGACCAAGTTTATTTTTATATATCATAACAGATTTCACATTGAGCCTGGCCGTTTTAATTATTAGAGTGAACTCTCCAGCTGCAATAGAGGTTCTCCAAAACGGTAATGTTTCAGTCTCAAAAACCGAGAACAACAAAAAGACTCTCATTGTACGATGCATTTAGCGATTTGTATTTTTTTCTTTTATGTTTCACAAAAAAAGTTTCTATGTATAGATCTATTATGTTTGTTGATTAATATAATGTATGTTATGTTCAAAAAAAATATATATATATAGAATGTATGCAATGTAAGAAAACGAGGGCTGTCGATAAAAAAAAAAAAAAAAAAAAACAATAAGAAAAGTGAAGACTAAAGTGGTTGGTGAAGTCATCAAGTATCATGTGTAGAGAAAAAGTGAGCTATGAAATCATTAGCTGAAACAAAATTAATGCAAACAATTTTTTTATAATTATAGCTGAAACAAAATTAATGCAGACTCCATTTTACTCTATATATATCTACGGGATTACCCAAAACGGCGAAACCAAGATTACACAGTCAAATCACAAAGTCATAACAATATATATAAAAAAAACAACAAAGAGAGCAGAAACTTACAAAAAGAAATATAATGAATCTGGCTGCGATCTTCTTGGCTTATTGTGTCTTATTCTCTCTTCTCCCAAGCCATCATCTTTCACAAGGTAATAAGATAACCAGTTTTTCTCATCAAACTCGGGTAAACCCTAACCGGCTTGGTTAAACTTCGATTTTGTTGTTGTTGATGGTTAGGTGAAGAACCAAGCTTGACCACTGCTCAGAGAAGGCCATGGTGCCCATCGAAAAAGCAAGTGTTCGGTGGTTCATGCTCAAACGATGGAGGACAACAATGTCTAAATGACTTATTAAGCACATGGTATCCAAGTGTAAGGCTAAGCCCAATCTACTGCACTTGCACTCCTAAACGTAACAACAAGCGTCTTTGCACTTGTCCTATTATGATTTGCCCCTAGAAAACTTCTATTTTCCCTGAAACTTGTCGAGAACTGGAGATGAATAGAACTGGCCACGTTGAAGAGACATGGAAGCAGAGCAGTAGCGTTGATGTTGCTAACGCATCTGCCTAGACCGCGTTGTAGCTCAAATGCATTTCGCATTTCGGTATTGAGTCGAATCTCGTCTATTCCCATTAATCTGTTTCTTTTTGTTTTTATTTCTCACAAAGAGTCCACATCACAGATGGATTCCATATTGTATAGTTCTATGATTATGTTTGTTGACTAATGTTACAAAAAGAAAGAGAAAATTATAAATAAAAGATTTTGTGCCTTACACCTCTCCGTTTCTCATTTTTTTTTACATTTATGCAAAAATAAATTGTCCAAATCAAAAAGTATTGGATATATATTTCCAAACATGTTACGGTGAGTTTATTATATTTCTGGTTTGTTTTACCACTAATTGATCTATGCCAAATCTGATTGGAAGAAAAGGAAAATGTAGACACAAATGACAAAACCTATGATAAAATATAATTTTTAAAATTTTTCAATATTCCCTATTATCTTTTATCTTTTATGATAAAATCTATTATTTACCTTCATTGGTTTTGTACCTCTACACTTTTGGAATTTGTGAATTGATAAAATATTTGTATCAATGTTTAATGCATTAGTTATTTTTTTAAAAATAAACTAGATTTTATATCTGCGTAGATTTATATTTTTTAAAAGATTAAATTATCAAATCTACAAAATATAACACAAGATATGAGGTTTAAAATATGTTTTTAGTGATTACATGAATTATAGATTATTTTTATGTAATAAATATTAAAATTAAATTTGTAAGTATAAAAATGTGAAGTTGAAAATAAAACAGTATAAATTATGTGTTATTAATATAAATATATTGCATATTATTAATATTTTTTTCTTCTCCGTTCTTCTCTATTCTTTTACTTTTTTTTTTATGCTTCATTTTCCGTTCTTTGTTTTTATATGCTCATTTTTTTTCTATGTTCTTCTTGTTCTATATTCCTTCTCTTTCTATGTTCTTCTTATTCTATGTTTCTTCTTTTTTTTATTCTTCTTTTTCTTCATTCTTTTCTGTTTTTCTCTATTTTTTTCTTTATTAATCGTTCTTCTTTTCATTTCTTGGTTTGAAGCAAGTTTTCTAGTCTGCCTTGAAATCGAGAATTTTTTTTTGTTCTCTGATGTTTTGTTTTTCTGTATAAAATGTTTGTAGAAGAAATTTTTTTAATTTTGATATAAATTTTTGTTATGCAGTTTACTAAATTTAATATATCCTGAGAATGAGGAACATTTTTTTATTTATTTTTTCGTTTTCACGACAAAACTTCCCTTTAAAAGATATTTATTTGGAAAAAACTAAAGAACAATGAGATAACGTGAGTTACTATTTTTGCATCTTTCATAAATTGCTTATTTATATATATATATATTCGGTTTGTTTAAGTTTTGATAGAAAATAATAGTATATAAGATAATTTTTTATTATGTTAATTATGAATTATATAAAAAAAAATTTAATATGTTGGCTTATTACATGCAGAGTGAAAACTTAATCATATCTTTGGATTTTTGTTTTGCAAATGTGCTAAATTTAAGCAATTATTGTTTCTTGTGTAAAAATTTATTTTGATTTTTTATTTGGAAAGTTTGCTCCACAATTTTAGTGATCAAATATAAATAAAACAAATTGAGTATCATAATATTTAGTGCAATTGATAATTTATATAGAACTAAATATAATTTTATTTTATTTTATGGTTATTACCATTTACTAGTATTTAGCTAACGGAGGAATATGCCACTAAATAAATAAGATTATCACAATAGAATTATGAAAAATAGAATATTGTTAAAGATTAGTCATTTATTGATTTTATCATTAATTTTTAAATTTTAATATTAATAATGGCATCTGATTATTTAAGGTTTTTTTGATATTTTAAAAATTTTACTTTTCAAATAAATTATTATTATTTAGTTAATGAAAGAATATATTATTAAATAAATAATTTTTTTTACTATAAAATTATGAAAAAAATAGAATATAATTAAAGATTATTCATTTAATAATTTTATCATTAATTTTAAAATTTAAATATAATCAATGACATCTGATATAATATTTTAGATTTTTAAGATATTGTAACACCCAAGTAACTACACTCACGTCCTCTTTCAGGTCTGTGAGCCCCATTCTTGTCTTACGGCCAATGCATTAGTAAAAAGATTCGAAAATCATGAAATACTGATCATGCAATTACCATATAATCATTCCTCGTATTTTGTCCTCACTCACACAATTTCAGAAAATCACTTCCTGAAAAGTCACTCATCATAGTCTTACTCCAGCTCAAGCACGTTTAATTATGTAATTCTTTTGGGACCAGTGACCAATAAGATAAGTTTACTTTGGTGACATAAGTAGCTAAATCATTTCTCTTACATTTCTCTATATATACATTCATAATTCTGAAATTAAAATGTTACAGATATTTTCTAAAATATATTTTTAAATAATATTATATATATATATATGTATATATCCAAATAAATAAATATTGATCGTTATATAATTTATGATTATTAAATTAAATTTAATAAAAAATTATTCAACAATAAATATCATAGATTTTGTTTTGCAATGTTTTATATTTTATAAAGATATGAAGTTTAATTATTGAAATTTATAGTCACTTAATTGTAACAATTTTATTTTATATAAATGTAAATGTAACTAATTGTAAAATTAAATATTAGAATTTTTGAAATTATTATTTAGGACGAGTTTTAAATTATTTAGATATGTTTAATAGTTGAAGTTAAATTAATTTAAATTAATAATGTTTGAAAATAAATGTGTTTGGTGATAGATATATAAAAATTAAATAAAAAAAGTAAAAAATTAATTATATATATTGACAAATGATTAAATTATTCTTGATAAATTATTAGAGAAAACACTAAAATATAACACATCAATTATATTTAAATGTCAATCCTCTTTTAATAGAATAGATTACTATATACTTCTACACCTTTGGAATTTCAAACTTCACAGAATGTTATAAGAAAATGAAGACTATGAAATCAATGTATGTTGAATTTAAAAATCCGATTCCGTCTTAGAATCTGGATAAAGAAATTTTAGATCCATCGAATCTGGATATCATGATGATCATAGTTCGGATCCAACAATCCACGTTTACTAAAGGGGTAGGTGAAGTCCACTAACAATCTAACATATGTCTTCAAAAAGTTTGCCATAAAAATCATTAAAATGATAAAGAAAATATTAATGGTAAGAAACTATAATTATCGTTAGAAAACAGATATAGCTTGCCATAATACGACAAAAAATGGAAGATAGTTTTACCATAAAAAACAGTATATTCATTATTTGTTTTTAATGAGATTTAGTTACCCAAAACGGCAAAAACCCAATAATCAAAAGATACATAATTATGTACAGTAAAATGTACTTATTGTCTATATTAGTGTTTACTTTGAGATAATCATCACAAAGTCATAATAACAAACAAAGAAAACATGAAGATGGTTGCAATTTTCTTGGCTTCTTGTGTCTTGTTCTCCCTTCTCCCAAGCCACCTTTCACAAGGTCTTATCATACAATTCTGTTCATCGCACTCCGGTTAACCCAAAACCAGATTGGTTTAACTCATTTTTTATCTTGTTGATGGATTAGGTGAACCAAGCTTGATCGCTACGGAGAGAAGGCAGTGGTGCCCGTTTAAAAAACAAATATTCAGTGGTTCATGCTCAAAAGATGGAGGACAACAATGTCTAGATGACTTATTACGTACATGGGATCCAAGTGTAAGGCTAAGCCCAGTCTACTGCAATTGCACTCCTAAACCTAACAACAAGCGTCTCTGCAGTTGTCCAAACATGATCTGCCCCTAAGAAAAATATCTATTCAAGATCCTAAACTGTTGTACTTAATCACCTTCCTATCTATCAATAAATAATGTTTCAGTTTCAGATGAGAATCCGAGTATAGTATTCTCGCATCTCAAAATAAATGTGTAAAGAAGTTTTTTGTTATGCGTACCAGTGAGTTTCATTGCATCATAGCGTTTTTATCCTACTCAAGAACTCGGGTTGGTTGATGGAGGATGTTGCCGGGATAGATACGGGACTTCAGCTACTATTCCAGAGATGTCTTCTCCTATAGTCACTGTGTTTCCGAGTGAGGCTGCTTGTTTCTTGATGTAGCCTAACCCGAAATGGCTAGACCCGTTTCTTCCCCTAGTGTAGCTCGTTAGCTTCCCCACCTGATTATAGCGTTTATTGACTAGTCAAAGGAATAATAGAACAAAATGCAGATGTTCTTCTTTGTTTTTGAGTTACTAAGATATGCACACAAAGGGTCAAAAACCTTTTTCCCGTCGAATGTGATGCTGCTGCCAGGTTCTGCTGGTGCAGAGAGGTCAAGTCCACACAACCTTTGTTTGATTCCATCATATGTTATGAGTCTTGCGATAGTCTCCTGCCCCTTATAACATCCTGAGAAAATTTTGGAATTTGGTAAAAACAAGGCGCTTCTTGTATCATTTCAGTTCACTTAACCAAAGCTTTTCGTTTACCTTTGTTCAGAGAGATCGAGTTCCATAGACCCGCTTCCAGAACGTTGAATTCCTTGCTGAGTTCTCTCTCAGGTGCTGGTCTTCCTGCAAAACATCAATGCTTTTGGCCTGAATAAACTCTAATGTAAGATATATGATTCCGATTTTGCTAATGGCATCAACGATAGCTATGTACAACACTCAGCACTGGCCATACAAAAGTTTTACAAACCTTGAATGATTCTAAGTTTCTCCCAGGCTACAGAACCCATTGGAATGGCACCTTCAGATAAAAGAGTCTTCCAGACTGAAACGGCACCCCCTGGTGACATTAACATGGTGAAGCCTTCTTCTATCATAAGAGACCCGACCCCAACTGTTATTGGCATTCCATCGAACTGAAGAAGAACGGAACATACTTACTACATGTCGCTTCACAAGATCTGTTTCGAGAGTAAAAAACACAAAAGACTTACAGTATAATGCTTATGCTTGCCATATGGCTGCCCAATAAGATCTCCTAGATTCAGTTTAGACATAATCTGTTTCAAGTATTTTACATTAGCATAAAAACAATGTATTTGAGCTACCATAAAAGGCTAAACAGAGAAAATGGTCAATCTTCCGAAAGAAGAATCTTACTTCGTTGCTTTTGGGTCCTGCTAAAGCAAATAAGCAAGTTTGCTTGGTGATATCCTTGATCTCTACCTTGTCAGCAAAAAATATATACCTAAGAAGGTAAAAATGAGAAATAAGCCTGATTTTTCAAAGAAACTGAACATTTTTTCTAAGTGAACATTGATGAAAGGCTATAACATACTTGTTTAGCATCTCAATTATGCTCTGGCACGTCGTTGGAGAAACCGTTAGCATTATTGCATTTTTCTGAAAGTGAAAAGGGTCGTGTTAACACGAAACTTGCTTCTAAAAGATATGAGCCACTGAAGGTGAACCTAAACTTGTTATACTCCCAAAAGGAAGGAGTGTTTATTACCATTATCCAGGCATGTGCAATATCTATGGTCCTTGCAGTTGGGGTAACGAATACAGTGTCACATCCCTTAAGAAGCGAGCAAATAGAAACACAAGTAGAGTTACTAGTAGTCACAGAAGCAACAATCATACACTCGATTCAAAAATATCCCTATAAAGAAGACTCACTTGTCCATCGGTAAGGCCTTCAAAGTTTGCAGTAGTTTGGTTGTGAAGGAAATGAGCGCGGTCATCTCCACTAACTTGATGGCAATAGCACCACAAAACATTAGGTATTAGCATAGGCAAAGTCACAGGCCAAAAGCTAAATGTTATAAGCGAATAAGAACTAATTCCATGTCGAAAAAGCATGATAGAAGAAAAGAGATTTATACCTCGTATCCTCCCAAAATGCGAGAGATCCACGACCTGTAATCACATTTTGACCAAACTAAAGTCATGATGCAAACAGCCAAAGAGATTCAAAGTTAAAGCTAAAACAAAGAGAAGTATAAGAGTTACATCTTTCGACAAAAAAAAAAAAAAAAAAAAAAGTTACATCATACCACTACTCCATTATCAAATGCATCCAAAGCCTCATCATCGTTATCAAAACTCTCAACAACACCATCTTCTGAAACTTTCCCTCCAGAAACACTAATTGTATCCTTCACAAGCCCATCAAACAAAAAGAAGAAACGCATAAGCATGCTTATAGTACTCAATTCACAAGCAAAGCCCCAGAAAAATTGTTACTAATTTCTCGAAAAACCTTCCAGAACTAAATAAAGTGTTCCATAATGGTAGAATTGTAACACTATATAAATAAACTCGAGAAATTGTTATTCGCGGCAGCAATTAAATGCTGCGGAGAGGAAGCTTACAAGAAGATCGTGGTCGATGGGAGGCGGCGAGAAATCAAACTGCAGCGAATCGGAAGCAGAGACGCATCGGAGCTGAAACTTTCGTTCTCTAGAACCACCATTTCGGAGACGAAGGGAGCGGCGGCGAAGAATTGTTCCGCTGCAGAGACATGGAAGCAGAGCAGTAGCAGTAGCAGTATTGGTGATGCAGCAGCTAACGCCAACCATCCTCATCATCGCCATGTCCGTACAACTCTGAAGAGGATTATTATTTTCTACATACATATATAAATCTCAATTCGTATAATTGGGAAAATTAGTAGCGAAAATACTTTTTTTTGGTCAAGGAGTACCGAAAATACTTAAAAGCACTAAAATGGGGAAAATGTGCCAAATTACATTTTCTTGAAATTTCTCTTTTGCCCAAAGTAAAAAATACACTGAACATCTTACATTACATGGTTTTTGGATGAATTACTAAAATCAAATAAGAAAACAAGTTAAATATCTTGCAAGTGTATTCAGCTTACTTATTTTACAATGCATTTTTTTGTCTAACAAAAAACAAAATTATTAAAGTCCTCTCGACCTGATGAAAATAGTGTTTGTCTAATTTTCAGAAATATAATCAGAATCAAGAAACAATGAGTATACATTTTCTTTACCAACCATTTTCTCTCCCTTTTCACCAAACTTTGTTCACCATTTTGTTTTATATCCTGCAAATGCTTGTTTCTCTGGCCGTGACTATACAAGCAGACGAGGAACAAAAAAAAAAAAAAAATTACAATATACATCAAACAAAAGGAAGAAACTTTTAGTCGACTTCAAGAGGATCATGATGAGGGTTTTGAGAGGAAGCATCAGCAAAGACTTGAGCTTCATCTTCGTCTCTCACATCTCTAAACATGGAAAGAAACGAGTTAAGTCCTTCTGAGGAAGCACCGCCTAAAATCCATAGCAGCATCGAGCTGAAGGAGCTCATCGCTCCTGCTTGAGGGTTAGGCGGCTCTGCGGGAATGTTGTTGTTTGCTCTGTTCTCTTCTCGCTCTTGATGTTGCATCGGATTCTCGTCTCCTCCTCCTCCTCCTCCGTCCGCTGCTGCTGCTGGTGATCTTGTTTCAGTGTTTTGGTTTGGGACTGTGTTGTTTGGACCAGAAGGAGATCGGTTTCTTGTTGTTCTGTTCAGCCTTGTGATGTGAAGTGTTGATGCTAGGATTGTTGACGAAGTGATGTGGAAGTCTGGGTGTTGTTGAAGGTGTGACTGTCGGCTTTGAAGGAATCTTTGAAGAGCAGGTACCTGCAGATAAAGAAAACTTATAATTGAAGTTTCTTGTGGCTTTGGCTAAATCTTCGAGTTGTTTGGAATCAAAACGTTTACCTCAAAGCGGTTCCAGAAGTATAAAATCAAGTGATGCATGAACGCAGCGGTTGTCATTAAGGCGAGATAAGAGAAGCCTGTTGAGAGTGAACGACTCTGAAATTACAGTAATTCATGAGACAAGTATAGTTTAAGGTTAAAAACATTGGTTCTTACCATATGCGTATGAGAAGAAATAAATGTGGAACACCAAGAAGTAGAGCAAGAAAAAACGCGGGAAGAACTTCATCGATATTGGTGTCCTGACACTGCATTATTTGGAAGATAGGACTTTGTGTTATTATTCCATTGAACAGCAAGATCATCACGACCAAGATAGTTGATGACTAAGGCAAAAGAGTAGACCGAACCTTATCAGGGTGAATAATTCGCATAGCCAGACAAGAACTAGAACCATGAAAGCCAATAGCTGATCGTCGTAAAACTCAAACAGGAAGAACAATATCCCAATCATAATCTGCAATTTAAGATAATTAATATTATGGTCCGTCTCTGAAGTATTGTAATTAAAAAAGTAAACCAGGGTATGCGTGTGCATACCGGTACAAAGACGAGGGATTCAATAACGTGCACAAAGATCAACTGAAATGTTGGTAACCGATGCTGAGCATGGTGTTGAAGCTGCACTGCAACGAATTGATATCGAAACAAAGATGATTTGTTGAGAAGCAAAGATGCGAAAAAAACCATCAGCTATTAGAATAGAAGAAAGACAAACCTGTGAACTTCAACATGCGAGTTTGTGTCTCTCGCAATGTAAATGACACAGACATTGTGGTGGTGAAAAACACAAAAAGTGACATCATAAGCACACCACATTTCGTCACCAAGTAATCTGCATACATCCGGAATCAATAAAAATATTATACTCAGTATATTAAAGCAAATGCTTATACTCTAATACATAGAAAGGTGCAAGAGCTAATAAAGCAGCCTTGGTGAGATCTTCCAATCCAATATAATGCACATAGTCAATAGAGTTACGAGAACGTGACGAACCTCCAAACTGCGAAGAACCTTCAGAAAGTTCTTGGGAGTAACTAAGATTGTAAAACTCTCTTGTCTGGAAGTTGTATAGATAACCTGTAATGGAGGAAGTTGGCAGTCATACGAAGTGAAAAATGCAGCTTTCATAATAGCACATAGATTAAAAAAAAAAACAATCAAAGGGACAAGAGCAGCCGAAAAAGACAGATGGAGAAATCATGTAATAGCTACCAACAACGACATTGGTTACTTACATTATGCATTGTCATGCATGGACTAAATAATTACTGCACACTAATCTCTGACTAGACTTCCCAGAGGATACATTAATTTCAAGTACCAAAGATAATATAAACAGACAGCCTCGTTTAATGGTAGCCTAACCTTTCAGATAAATCGTTGCACACACGATACAAAGAGCAAGGAAAAGCACATAGTTGAGGAATCACAGGCCTCGAAGGATGCATATATATAACTTTGTTCTACCTAATTGCGAAATTAAGAGACCCACAAATAGTGGAAATTGCATGAGCATTACCGACCAGACAACAGCTAATACCAACCTTGACCAGCAGAGTTCTGCAAGCTATTCATTATGATAGTATCATATCCTACAACTCTGTTTATAAGAAGTTGCTGCCACCTGCAAAAATAATTCAATTTTCAGAAGCTTGTCATCAGTATACAGAGACTTTCCAATAAAAGATTCATTGTTTCCAAAGTGAGGGCCGCCCAAAAACATGAATATTATTATTACCTGTTGCCAAAGCAGGAATGTCGTGCTGATATGCTAACATTTGCAGTGCGAATGTTATGCCGTGACTTAGCTTCGTCAGGCAGCAAAAAGTAACCCTATATGGAAAAAGAGCGAAGCAATTCTAAAACTGAACCAGAAATTCAACTGAAAAATTCCTCATTTTCACATCTTCCTTAATTAAATAGACTACTCTGGGGAATAAGATGCTCGAGTATCTTCTAGTGTTCACCTTTTCCATGGTATATAGATATGTGGGCTCAAACTCTTGAGTTCTTCTCTCGAGCCATTGAACTGACAAAAACAAAAATCAACAAACAAATTAACTTCAAATATATACATCTCACCACCCAAAGCAGAGCGAAAAGCTCAACCTGTGTGATTTTACTCTTCCAATAACTAAACCTCTTAGATGAAAAATTATAGAAAGGTTACAAAGAAGAGGCCCATAAACAGAAATTTTATTTGGTAGTTTGCTCAAAACAAGAAATGCTTTTCACAAGGAAATGTATGCATTTAGATTCAAATTTTACGTTTGTAAAAAGGGTCATCATTGACTGATAGGTTCATTTAGATGATGAAGAACAAAACCAATATAAATGTAAAATAGAGATTCCATTGAGGTGGCTTTTACCTGCATAGGAATTGACCTTATCCATATACAGCAAATGCAACAATTTGGGCACATCAAGATTCAACGGAATGCCGATGATGTTCTGCATGTAAAATTTGAAGGGCAAAATAATTTGCTTTAGTCAAAACACAAATAATCAGGATTGTAACCCAGCAGATGAGCAAAGTACCGTGGCACCAAAATACAGATATCTTTAAAGAGCTAAATTTCCTCACAAAATAAAGGCCGAAAGTATTATAAATTCTCTTAACCCTAACAATTAAGCCCCATGCCACTTAAACTTTTCAGTAACCTCTATTAAGAACCATGCTATATAAGAGAGATACCTAACATCCAACAGAAACCTCGCAGAGGAGATACAATGTCAAAATATAAGAGCCATAAGCAATATCTAAGTCAGATCTTGAGAAACAAAAGTAAATCAAACAAAGAGATCAGACAGAGTAATTAGTTAATCTGACAGATTCTAAGTCACTTACTAAGTCGGTTAAGAGACAACTTACCCATATTTTTCTAACACCTCTGAGAATTCGTGCTGTGTGCTGTAGAACAAAAGATATGCGTCTATGACACTTTTTGAGAAATCTAAGAATAGCTGCTCTGACAGTCTCTTTTGCAGACACTGAGAAACTACTGCGGTGCTCTTCCTTATCAATTTTAAGAAATATCTCATCAGCATTCTCTTCACTGGTAGAGATTTCTGCATGATTCCAAAAAAAAAGAAAAAAATCAGCATCAGTGCCTGCAAGTTTAGCCACAGCCTACACCCGAAGATAAAGGCTCACCTTGATCACTCTTTGAGACTTCTAAATTGTCAGCTGCAGCTTCAACTTTGACAACATCTGCAGCAGTACTTTCATAGTTACGTGACCACAACCCTGCGCTTGTTATCTTATACCACAGAAATAAGTTAGTGCCACATATGCTTTAGAGAAGTAAAAAATGAAACACAAATTTATTTATCGCCAAGTGATTTTCAAGAAGAGACTATCTAGAAATTTTCACTAATTATGAAAGCTAACATCAGAAGGTGGATAAGATCTACATACCTTGATTTGTAAAAGCTCTGCTTCAGCCAACTCAACTCCAGTCAGCTCACTTGAACAACCAGGCTTTGATAGAAAGAAAAGTTAACTAAATTAGCAATAAAGGTCAGATAAGAAAAGCTTAAGAGACTACACGAAACTCTTGAAGTTGATGACAAAAAAATTGAGATAAGAAAAGCTAATGAGACACTAGCAGGAATCATCTTTGGTAGGCATGCAGACTACACGAACCTCTTGAAGTCGAAGACAAGTAAGCCAACAGAAAAATGCATTACTATTGGGACGTATACCAAAATATGAAGTGTGCATTCAAAACTGCTACATTTATGTATCTCAGACATTCAAAGTCATTAGGTAATTTAGAGGAGAAAGGACAAACTTTTAATCTTCTACATAATCGGCTAATCATAAGCTAAATGTCCAAGACTTAAACTTCCACAATCGGCTAACCCTAAGTGAAGATTTTCGGGTCGTTCTTGACTAAAAACAAAGAGAAACGAAATGGAGAAACAAAAAAAAAATGAAAAGAGAGTCAATTACCTGCTGAACATAATTGGCGTGCATAACAACGAGGATGCAGAACAAAGTGATGGCAACGAGGAGGTACGTATACTCTAAGATAGCCCTAATCCTTGGAGTCAAGATCTGTGAGAACCTCTCCTGAACCCTAATAAACGTCTGCTCCGGATCCATACTCGATCTCCGATGCAATTCGTCGTCTTCTTCTCAAAATTGACTGCTTCTACAAAAGGAGTGCGTCGACATCGAATTCAAATTTGCTCCGCGGCGATGAAGATTGTTGATTCCTCTGGTTCTGAGAGACCTTGATTATTGAAGATTGAAAAAGCACCGCGAAGGAAATATTTACCTTGTACTCTTATATATATATATTATCTTTTGTCAACTCGAAGGCTTGGACGCTACTGGCGAAGTTGGTAGTGTCAGTAATCCCGCAGGCAGTATAACCCCTCACGACGGCGAGAGTTCGATTCCTCCATTCACCAACAATATAATCGTCCTTTTAAAACAAATAAAACTCAAAATCATTTTTTTAGCTCAAATAAAACTCAAAATAGCGCAATACGCATAATAACATTTTCCCAAGTTTAATACAATCACCATATAATTTAGTAATGCTCCTTCGTGTTCATAATCATCGATTCATACCATGATTGCAGGGCCGCCCAGGGACAAGCCAAATGACAATATTGTATAAACATTTGTTTTGACCCCTATTTTTCAGTGGTCCATTTCTAAAAAAACATTTTTATGTATATATATAATGTTTATGGTTTGATATTGTAAGTCCAACAAAATCAACACAACAATAACAGTCTTTTCATGGTTTGACACATCAACATTTTCAAGCTTTTAGAAGATGACACTTCAACAAAAAAAAACACCAATAAAAATATTTCAATAATACAAGTCATCAATATATTTTAATTTTTAACTTTAAACTCATTAAAAACCCAAATATGTTTTATTGTTAATTTTAGTTTTATTTTTTGGTCAAGCTCAAGCCCAAATAATAAATAACAGTAAATAAAAAAAAAATTTTATTTTGTTGCTAAACCCAAATAATAAATAACAACAAATAATAAAATTAAATATTTGTTTTATATTTTTGCCAAACCGAAACTCAAATAATAAATAACAGCAAAAAAAAATTAAAATTTCTACCTATGTGTTTGCTTGATAGAATAAAAACATAACAATAATAAATATTATTAACACACTAATAAAATCAATTTACTATTTTGCTGACCCATTAAAAAGCCCAAAGTTTACAAAAAAAATGGAAGGCGGAAGCAAATTAGGAGAAACTCAGACTACCACAACTTGGAGATTCGCATTTCCACTGGTTACCGAGAACAAATTTTCTTGGGTTTGGCGGAAATAGAGAATTTATTGGTTTTGGTAGAAAAATGTGATTTTTAGTTTTAATAGGAAAACATAGTTTCTCGGTTATGGCGGAAAAAAACGAATTCTCGGGTTTGACAGAAAAATATGAATTTTTGGTTTTGATGAGAAATAAAAAATTTGATTTTGACGAGAAAACGCGAGGGAAATGCAACTTTTCAATTTTGACGAAAAATACGATTTCTCGGTTTTGATAGAATTTACAATTTTTCGACTTTTGATGGATAATGTAATTTCTTGATTTTTGCGGAAAATTGTAATTTGACAATTTTGGCAGAAAATGCAAATTTTCGGGTTGATAGAAAAGTAAAATTTCTCGATTTTGGCGGGAATAAACAATTTCTTGGTTTTGATGGAAAATGCAAATTTTCAGTTTTTGACATATAATTTGATTTTTTGGTTTTCGAGGGAAAATATGATTTCTTAGTTTTTGTGGGAAATGCAATTTCACATGAGATAATACAATTTTTGGTTTTCGCGGAAAATTGTAGTTTATCGATTTTGATAGGAAGACGTGATTCTTGATTTGAAGAAAAAAATAATTTTTTCTTGTTTTGGTGGGAATAGACGATTTTTGCGGAAAAATATCTTTTTGGTTTTGACGGGAAAATACTATTTTTTTTTTGTTTTTGCAGGAAGATAAATTTTTTTGGTTTTAGTGAAAAAAACTTGATTTCTCTGTTTTGACAGAAAAAGACAGGTTCTAGCGGAAAAATGAGATTTTTTGGTTTTTGAGGGAAAATGTAATTTCTTTGTTTTGGTAGGAAAATGAAATTTCAGGGTTGACGAGAAAATGAATTTTTTTGGTTTTGGCGGGAATAGATGATTTCTCAGTTTTGTGGGAAAATATTTTTTTTGTTTTGTCGGAAAATGCAATTTCTCAGTTTTTGTAAAATGATAAAATTTCTATGTGCTAATTTTCAAAGTTACAATATGTTTATAGTAACCAAAATTGAATTATTTAACTTCAACTAAATTGATATTTCAAAAGTTCAAATAGAACTTTCTATTCAGGTCTAAAGTAATAGTAATGATTTTGATATGAATGTTATTGATTATAGTTTGGTAGTTTTAGAAACATATGTCTATAATAAATATTTGATAAACAAATAAATTTTATAGTTTAAAATAATCATATTAATTAATATTTTTCAAATGGCAATTTGTTTTATATAATTTCAAAAGAGGATCAAATAGCAATTTAGTAGAGAAAATAAATTACATTTGCCATAAGCATGAAGATACTTAAAAATGTATTGTTTTATTCTTACATATATATTTATAGATAGTTAACTAAACAAATTTGATAGTAGATTAAAATTTTAAAAAATTAAAAAATTAAAAAATTAATGATATATAATATTTATTCAGATTTAAAACATATAAATACATAACTTAAACTAATAAAAAATAAATATAATACTCATTTACATTATAGAAATAATTTTATTATATTAAAAATATATACAAATCTAGAAAAAATATTCCGCAGCGGAGCGCAGGTAAATACCTAGTCAACACAACAATAATCCATAAGTCTTTTCATGGCTTGACACATCATCATTTTCAAGCTTTTAAGAGATGACACTTCAGCAAAAAAAAATACCAATAAAAACATTTCATTAATACAAATCATTAATTTATTTTAACTTTTAAATTTAAATCCATTAAAAACTCAAATATTTTTTATTGTTAATTTTAGTTTTATTTTTTGGTCAAGCCCAAGCCCAAATAATAAATAACAGCAAATAAAAAAAATTGTTTTATTTTTTTTACAAATCCAAATAATAAATAATAACAAATAATAAAATTAAATCTTTATTTTATATTTTTGCCAAACCGAAACTCAAATAATAAATAACAACAAAAAAAATAAAATTTCTAACTATGTGTTTGCTTGATAGAGATGTATATGATTGAAGAAAGTGTAGACTCATCAACTATGCTTCCATAACAAGAATGAAAAAAGCGTTATGTTACAAGAAGCTCACACATCAGCAAAAATTTGAACCAATAAAAACATAACAATGATACATATTATTAACACATTAATAAAATCAATTTACTATTTTGCTGACCTATTAAAAAGCTCAAAGTTTACAAAAAAAATGGAAGGCGAAAGCAAATGAGGAGAAACTCAGACTACCACAGCTTGGAGATTCGCATTTCCACTGGTTACCGAAAACAAATTTTCTTGGGTTTGGTGGAAATAGAGAATTTCTTGGTTTTGGTAGAAAAATGTGATTTTTCAGTTTTGGTAGGAAAACATAGTTTCACGGTTATGACGGAAAAAAGCGAATTCTCGGTTTGGTGGCAAAATGTGAATTTTTGGTTTTAGTGAGAAATAACAAATTTGATTTTGACGAGAAAATGTGAGAAAAATGCAACTTTTCAATTTTGACGAAAATTACGATTTCTCGGTTTTGATAGAAAATGTAATTTTTCGGCTTTTGATGGATAATGTAATTTCTTGATTTTTGCGGAAAATTGTAATTTGATAATTTTGGCAGAAAATACAATTTCTCGGGTTGATAGAAAAGTAAAATTTCTCGATTTTGGCGGGAATAAACAATTTTTTGGTTTTGATGGGAAATGCAAATTTTCAATTTTTGACATATAATTTGATTTTTGGTTTTCGAGAGAAAATATGATTTCTTAGTTTTCGTGGGAAACGCAATTTCTCAGGAGATAATGCAATTTTTAATTTTTGCAGAAAATTGTAGTTTATCGGTTTTGGTAGGAAGGCGTGATTCTTGATTTGACGAGAAAAAAATTGTTTTGGTGGGAATAGACGATTTCTCGATTTTTGCGGGAAAATAATTTTTTGGTTTTGATGGAAAAATACAATTTTTTGTTTTTGCAGGAAGATGAATTTTTTTGGTTTTGGTGAAAAAAACTTGATTTCTCTGTTTTGACGGAAAAACACAGGTTCTCGCGGGAAAATGTGATTTTTTGATTTTTGAGGGAAAATGCAATTTCTTTGTTTTGGTAGGAAAATGAAATTTCAGGTTTGACGAGAAAATGAATTTTTTTTTTGTTTTGGCGGGAATAAGCGAATTCTCAGTTTCGTGGAAAATATTTTTTTTTTGTTTTGTAGGAAAATACAATTTCTCGATTTTTGTAAAAGGATTAAATTTCTCTGTGTTAAATTTTCAAGTTATAATATGTTTATAGTAATCAAAATCGAATTATTTAACTTAACTAAATTGATATTTCAACAGTTCAAATAGAACTTTCTATTTAGTTCTAAAGTAATAGTAATGATTTTGATATAAATGTTATTGATTATAGTTTGGTAGTTTTAGAAACATATGTCCATAATAAATATTTGATAAATAAATAAATTTTATAATTTAAAATAATCATATTAATTAATATTTTTTTAAAAATGGCAATTTGCTTTATATAAGTTCAAAGGAGGATCAAGTAGCAATTTAGTAGAGAAAATAAATTACATCTATCATTAGCTTGAAGGTACTTAAAAATATATTGTTTTATTCTTATATATACATTTATAGATAGTTAGCTAAACAAATTTGATAGTAGATTATAATTTTAAAAAATAAAAAACTTAATGATATATAATGTTTATTCAGATTTAAAACATATAAATACACAACTTAAGCTAATAAAAAATAAATATAATACTCATTTAAAATATATAAATAATTTTATTATATTAAAAATATATACAAATCTAGAAAAATATTCCGCAGCGTAGCGCGGGTAAATACCTAGTTTATATAAAAGCCCAATTCATTATAAAAACTTTTTATTTTTATTTATATGAGTTTTTTAAAAAAAATTTATAATATGTATTTTTTTTTTGACGGCCAAAAAAAATTATAATATGTATTATGGTATCTAGCCCCCAAAATTTCAAAGTCAGCCCTACATGATTGAGTTTGTAGATTTGATGACAAAAACATAAATGTACCACATAAGTTTTCCATGACTATACCAAATAAGTCTTTAAACGCACCAAATAAATCTGCCATGAATGAGTTTGTAGATTTAATGACAAAAACATAAATTTAGGTATAAATGATAACAAAATCTGCAACTCCAAATAAATCTACAAATATCAACTAAGTCTTCCATAACTAAGTTTGTAGATTTAATGATGACCACTTTAAAAAGTGACAACTTCCAACTTGGCAGTTTTATAACTAAACATTAATATTTTGGTAAATAATTTGAAACATATCTTGAACAACTAAATAACTAATCGCACATTGGTATTCATTTTTATTATCAAAAGCTTTAAATGGTTCAAAAATAATCTACTAATTTTTCAAATATTTGTCTAGTAATAAAATAAATTTTTTTGACACTTTATAGTTATCCTCCCATATATGTATATATAACTCCCAATGTTGATGATTAACTAACAAGTTTCTACCATAATCTTTATTATCATTCATCATTTTTGCCCAAGATTTCCACCACCACCATCTTTATCATCGTTCATCATTCATCATTTTTGCCTAAACTTTGTTGTTGTTGAAATGGCATGTAGAGAGAGTTGTGGAAAGCCATTTTTACCAAGAGAGCAAAGACAGATTGCCTGTTTTCAGATGTGAGACTTACGCACCAAAGAAAATAGGAGGAGATTGATAAACATGTTTTTTGATGATTTTTTGGTCACACGATTTATTGGTGTACTAGCAGTGGAACATTCTTTTTTTTTTGTCAAATAGTAGTAGAATATTTTTAATATTTGTTCTTTTTTAGAAAAAAATTATATTTACCGACACTTTTGACAAATTTCAATTTACGGTTTAGAGCACTTTCAAGAATTAAGGTACTTTGCCGATGTACTTTGACAAAAACAACTCTGTTCTTTTGTAACTTTAAAAAATGCAGCTTCTTTTAACAATAACCAAATGTCACATCCGGCTACTATCCCTAATCTTTGTCACTTGCCTCTAGTAAAATCCTACTCAACTTGAACAAGAACAGGATAAGGATGGCAGATATCTCTCTGAGATAAGGAGTAATGAGAGTGATACTCTGTTTCTTTAGTTTTAGATGAAAACATTGATGTCTAATTTTCAGATATATAATCATAATCAAGAAACAATGTCATATACATTTCTTTGCCAACCCTTTTTCTCTCTTTTTACCAAACTTTGTCCATCTTGTTTGTTTATATCCGGCAAATGCTTGTTTCTTTGGCCAGTGACTATACAAGCGAACAAGGAACAAGAAAAGAAAACAGAGGCAAAAAAAAGAGATACAATGTACATCAAACAAAAGGAAGAAACTCTTAGTCGACTCAAAGAGGATCATGATGAGGATTTTGAGTGGAAGCATCAGCAAACACTTGAGCTTCATCTTCATCTCTCACATCTCTAAACCTGGAAAGAAACGATTTAAGTCCTTCTGAGGAAGCACCGCCTAAAATCCATAGCAGCATCGAGCTGAAAGAGCTCATTGCTCCTGCTTGTGGGTTAGGCGGCTCTGCGGGAATGTTGTTGTTTGCTCTGTTCTCTTCTCTCTCTTGATGTTGCACCGGATTCTCGTCTCCATCCGCTGCTTCTGGAGATCTTGTTTCAGTGTTTTGAGTTGGGACTGTGTAGTTTGGACCAGATGGAGATCGGTTTCTTGTTGTTCTGTTCAGCCTTGTGATGTGAAGTGTTGAGGAAGTGATGTGGAAGTCTGGGTGTTGCTGAAGGTGTGACTGTCGGCTTTGAAGAGCAGGTGCCTGCAGATAAAAACTTATAACTCAAGTTTCTTCTGGCTTTGGCTAAATTATTCGAGTTGTTTGGAATCAAAACGTTTACCTCAAAACGCTTCCAGAAGTATAGAATCAAGTGATGCATGAATGCAGCGGTTGTCATTAGGGCGAGATAAGAGAAGCCTGTCGAGAGTGAACGACTCTGAAATTACAGTAATTCATGAGACAAGTATAGTATAAGGTTGAAAAAAACCTCATTTCTTACAGTATGCGTATGAGAAGAAATAAAATGTGGAACACCAAGAAGTAGAGCAAGAAGAAACGCGGGAAGAACTTCATTGATATTGGTGTCCTGACACTGCATTATTTGGAAGATAGTACTTTGTGTTATTATTCAATAGAACAGCAAGAAGAGAAACTTTAAGTGAAAAATGCAGCTTTATATTATAGCATATAGATAAAAACAATCAAAGCGACATGAGCAGTCGAGAAAGACAGATGGATGAATCATGTAATAGCTACCAACAATGACACTTGTTATGTCACATTATGTGCATGGACTAACTAATTCATGCACACTAATCTCAAACTAGACTTCCCAGAGGATAACTTTCTTTAAAGTAACAATAAAATATAAACAGATAATCTCTGTTTAGTGGTAGCTAACCCCTTCAGATGGAACAGGTTGCACACAAGATACAAAAGCAAGGACAAACATATAGTTGAGGAATCAGAAGCCTAAAAGGCTGCAGATATATAACTTTGCTCTGCCTAATTGCGAAATGAAGAGACCTACAAATAGCGAAACTTGCATGGGCATTAGCAACCACACAAACAGCTAATACCTACCTTGACCAGCAGAGTTCTGTAAGCTATTCTTTAAAATTGTATCATATCCTACAACTCTGTTTATAAGAAGTTGCTGCCACCTGCAAAAGTAACTCAATTTTAAGAAGCTTATCATAAGGATACAGCCTTTTTGATTAAATCATTTGTTTCCAAAGTGAGGCCAATAACATGAATATTAGCTGTTGCCAAAGCAGGAATGCCGTGCCGATATGCTGACATTTGCAGCGCGAATGTTATGCCGTGACTTTGCTTCATCAGGCAGCAAAAAGTAACCCTATATGGGAAAAGAGTGGAGCAATTTTAAGATATTGTTTCCCAATTCTGTTTTTGGAACGGAGGGAGTGTTTGTTTTCTTGTGTCGGTCCAAAATATTGAACGCTACGGCGAAGTGAGAGGTGCGTGTAATCTTGGAGACAGCGCTCACGACTCTTCCCCACCAACAATATTTTCGTTTTTTTTTTTCTTAAAGCTTTTTTTCGTTTTTTCTAACTGCATAAATAGTTAGGAAACAAAGAAAACTCAAAAACAAGCAAAACTCATAACATTTTTCCAAGCTTAATACAATCACAATATGAATTTAGTAGTCTTCCATCATGTTCGTATCATCGATTCTTAACCATTTGCACAGAAATGTGCAGATACATACAATATCTCTCTACCTAAATCGAACCTTCCTTCTCATCTAGAAGCTTGGCAGAAACGCTCCAAACGACACCGTGTATTCGTGAAACTGCGACCATCAAAGATAAGGGCTCTCAAGTCTCAATACACAAGTCTTACAGAGAATCTACAATGGTTTTAACTTTGAAATATCTCCATTTGTAGCAGTACAAAGCTTAATTTCACAGTGATGAAACAAGAGAGATGAGTGACGAAAATGGAAATGAGAAAGAGAAAAAAACCTGCTTCACGATCTCTTCATATTTAGCGGCTAACTGTTTGACTTTAGCTTCTCCTAACTGTTTCATCTGGTTAGTCTTGGCTGTATTGTCATCGACCTGTTGATATATAAACAAACAAAACTTACGGCGATGATAAAGCATCGTGCACAATAGATTCAATATCATTAGGTTGCTCAAAAGCAAGGGACTAATTACCATAGCTACTAATGATTCAACATCCGATTGCCTGGCTTCAAGTTGACGTCTTTTGGATTCAACTTCGAGTTTTAATTCGTTCAATTGTTTCGTCCAATCATCAAACATGACTTGTTTTTCTTTCTCTAACTGCTTCAGTGATTCGTGCAACTGTTTCACTGTTGAAAGAAGAGAAAAAACTACAGCCTCCGTACCAGAAACAGAAGTGGGAAACAATATCCAAAGAGAGAAGAAATAAAACCAAGACTTGCCTACTCTTTCCCGCTCAACCACTTTCGCCTCAAGTGATTTGTATGCTGCTCCATCTTCACTCAGCTTAGCTTTCTGAGCTTTTAAATCTTTCTCAATTGCTTTCACATTTGTTACCTGTAACATCGTCAAACACATATAAATATAAAAATGAAACAATAAATCCAAAGACACTTTACATGCGTGTCTTGCCTCATACTAGAGATGCAATCTACAAGCAATGAAAGGGGAAAGGAGTTTTTCTTTTCTTCGTCACCTGTTCGTTGATTAATTGCAGTTGCGCAGATGTCTTTGACATTTTCTTGAATGCCTGCAAATGCCACCCATAGATAGAATGAACTTAATTACCACTGTGAGAAAGCAAAACATTGATGGTGCACCTATCAAGCTCATGTAATGTAAGACTAGACAAAATGAAATAAAAGCATACAATAAGATCACAATTTAAACTAATGTCCACCTTAGATTCACTCTTATCCACTATACACGAAAATACATGAAGTTCTTTCTTAAAGCTCCTGGACAGAATTTCGTGGAGTATGAATAAAAGTCACAGCTCGTTAAAGCAATAAACACCAAACTTAGTAGAATAATGATGTTGTTGAAATCATATTTCTCTAACCAAATAATTTGAGAGCAATATCCGCAGCAATGACCAAAGGCTTGGGAATTTTGGACAGTTAAACATCAAGTTGCAAAAAGCCATAAATCTATTTAGTTACGACCAATATGATTTAGTAATAATCTATAGGTTCCATTAGATACCTTTTCATAAACCTCGAGAATGGCAGCCTTTTCCTGGAATGTTTCCATTGCTGATTGTTCAGCTTTCTTTGTTTCCCCCAAAACTTGTTTCTTCTCTTCTAAAAGCCCCTGTCTCCATAACAAGCGTTTGAACAGGTGTTGTATACACAAAAAAATTCTCTTAGAACTGGTGCTAGTAGGAAACAACAATATACCTGCAACTTGTCTGGGGATTGAACAATCTGTGAGCGGAGGTTTGCGTTTTCTTGGACTGTTTGCACAAGGTCAAACTCTGCTTTAGAAATCTGTAGAGAGAAATGAACTTGTCAGGAGCAGAAAACGCCTCTCACATAAAATATATGCAAATTGTCTAATTGATCAACGGGATTTGTTTTCCAAAGAAGCTCTTAATGCCATAGCTTGCCATTTCTTTACCTCGTTATCCATTTGTGCACTCCTCTCTCTCATTTTCTGGAAGGTTTCTCGCAGCGAGAGCTGCTGATTATTCAGTCCTAATATTTTCTGATTGAGCTCTTCAATATTCGTTTCTAGCTCTTGAACAAAAGGTACATCCCTCTCACAGGCTTCGTCGAATTCTGCAATCTCTGCATTCAACTGCATGGATGGATAGCCTTTAGAAAGGAGAAAAAAGATCATGGCTATCTATGGGACGTATGCTTCTCTAGCATTACCTGAGAAATCTTTGCCTCCCACTCCCTCCGCTGCTCATCAAGGAGAGTCAACTCTTCTAGCTTTGGTCTTATCAGTTCCATTTTTGAATCTCTAGCATCAAAAATAAGATGCAAATACTCAATAGTAGACATCTTGAATGCTAACCATTATTTCTCAAATCTCTGTTCCTTACTAAACTTTGTGCGCATTCCAAACTCTTTAAAATACAAACTAGGAGCATCAAAAGAGATTAAAGCAGAATAACATACTTGTGTAGACCGAAATTCAAAAGTGCGCTGATGAAAAACTCAGTTCGTGCTGAATCTGGCCGTAACAGATCCCTCAAATTAATCTTCAGAGGACAATCCACCATTTCTAGCATATCTTTCAGTTTGACATAAAGATTCATGACCGGCACTGAAGTGGCATGATGATCTGGATTCTCCAATTGCTCCAGAGCCGCAAAATCAACTTGCCCTTTGTCTTCTCTGCCGTCGATTCGAAATTGGAAGACCCAATATCAAAAGAAAGCAAATTGAGAAATGATGCATCATCAGAATTGAGAAAATGAAACATCACTATCACCAGATAAGAAGATCAAATTTCCCCTAATTACAAAAAAAAAAAATTAGGGTTTTAAAAAAACCCAGCAGTTTATACAGTCAGAACAAACGAAGAAGCTCAGTGGTCTTTCGCAAATCGAAAACCCTAATGATCAGTAATTCGATATCTAAACAATAATTTTTCGGCACAACTCGATAACCCAGCTTGAAGCAGACCCAAAATCGAAGGTGAAAACCAGTTCGAAATTAAAGGAAGTAGGGTTTTGAGGGATCCATACTCGTTGAGCACGTCGAGATAGATAAGGATTCTGGTGTAAAGCTCGGAGACGGAGTCGAAAGTAGGGTTTTTGAGATCGGAATCCTTAACGGGAGCTATATTAGCCTCCGTGAGAACCGTAATGATATCGGAGCGAGAGAAGTTCGGATACTCGTAGGCCGACATCAGTTTCGCTTCGGTGATTTCGGCTTCGTTTGTTTTCTGGATTCGATAAGAAATTAAAAAGAGAAGCCAAAATCAGGAAAAAGGGAAGATGAAGAAATGTTTTAACTTTGATTTTCCCGCTTAGACAAAAAGGCATCGCACTCGGAAGAGAAACACGTGGCATCTCTAAGTAGGAAAAACTGAACTCTATATAAATTAAAAAGAAAAACATTTCATTGGTCAAAATTACCATAAAAATGTATATTTTGGCAGTAGATATATAATAAAGTTTTCAATTAATAAAAAAAATTATTTATTTAACTAGGTAAATATCTGCGCATATAATTTTTTTAAAAAATAAATTAGTTTTATTGTCTAACAAATATACTTTTTACAAAAATTGTTTCACAAATTTGTATAAATATTTGAGAAACTTCAGTTTTGTGAATGTACCACAGATATTGAAAACACATATCTTCAAACGTTTCATCAGCCATTTTTATTGTAGGGATAAAAAGGTAGAAAACCATTTTTATTGTAGGGATAAAGAGGTACACTACAAGAAAATATAGCTAATTTCTACCAATTTTTCTACAAAACATTTGGTAAAAAATATCTTTTACAAATTTCTTACAGAGTTATGACCAAAAATATAATTGGAAGGATAATGGTAGGAAATTTCCTACAAATATAAATGGTCAGATAACGGTCAGATGTTATTATCCAGTTTTCTACGAAATTAAAAAGCGTAAGAAATCTGGTAGATAAATGGTAAGAAATCAGTAAAAAAATATTTGACCAATACAATAGTAGAAAAGTCGTCAGTAATTTCCTACCAGATTTCTACAAAAATATATTTGTCGGTTAGTGGAAGGAATACTGTAGGGAATTTAATGACCGTTACACGTAATGACCGTTTGAAAATATATCTGTTACGTTTTTATTCTGGTAGGAAAATGGTAGGAAATAGGAAAAGAAATGGTAGAAACATTGAAAAAAAATGTTAGAAAAAATTATAACCTTTTCTAAACGAAAAAAATGTCTATATATAAAGACATTGAGTGTTAAATTGTAAACACAACTACATATACTCGACATCTCTATAAATGTCTACGAACAATAATGATTGGAGGTCATGGATGTACAATGATAGATGGGATTCAAGTACTGGATGTCTTAATAAAGAATTCGCTGCCGGACTCACCGACTTCATGCGGTTTGCAACAAACCAGGACATATGCTTGGAAAGTGGTAAGTTGTTTTGTCCTTGTCCAAGATGTGATAATAATAAATTTATATGTGTGAATAAAATGTAGAATCATCCAAGTAGTCGAGGATTTAGGTCTAATTACAAGGTGTGGTACTGTCACGGGGAATCTGATTACATGAATATGGGTAATACTAGTGAATATGTGGCAGAAAGGGTAGATCAACCTAGAATAGCAGAAAGGGTAGAAGAACCTAGAATGGATGAGGAGAACATAAGTACGGTTCAGATGGTTCGTGATGCATATATGGAAAATATGCACACGTTTCTAGAAGAAGGGAATAGAGTTGAGCAGCCAAATTTAGAAGCAAGAAGATTTTTTGATATGTTAGACGCAGCGAAACAACCTCTGTATGCAGGTTGTAAGGCAGGACATTCTCCATTATCAACTGCGACAAAGTTGATGAATTTAAAGACGGAGTACAACTTGTTTGAGGATTATATAGATGTGTTTGCTGATTTTGTGAAAGATATTCTACCTGAAGATAATTTGGCACCATCTTCATATCTTGCAATTGAGAATCTCATTTCTGGTCTTGGTTTGCCATATCAGATGATCGACGTTTGCATCGACAACTGTATGATTTACTGGAAATCGGACGCAAACTACTTGGATTGTCGATTTTGTGGAAAACCTCGGTTTCAGAATACCGGAGGAAGAGTTCGAGTGCCGTTTAAGCGTATGTGGTATTTGCCGTTAGCAGATAGATTGAAAAGGTTATATCAGTCTGAGCGAACTGCAAGCGCTATGAGATGGCATCAACATCATTCAAACGAAGGTGAAATCGCTCATCCTTCAGACGTAGAGGCATGGAAACACTTTCAACAAGTTTATCCAGTTTTTGCATCAGAGAGCAGGAATGTATACCTTGGACTATGTACGGATGGCTTCAACCCATTTGGAAAGCATGGGAGACAGTATTCATTGTGGCCAGTCATTGTCACACCTTACAATTTGCCTCCGTCTTTGTGCATGAAACGGGAGTTTCTATTTCTCATAATACTCGTTCCTGGTCCAGAACACCCAAAGCGATCCCTCAATGTGTTCTTACAGCCACTGATTCATGAGTTGAACGACTTATGGGAGCATGGAGTTCAAGCATATGATGTCTCATGCCAACAAAATTTTATAATGCGTGCAGTGCTAATGTGGACCATTAGCGATTTTCCAGCATATGGAATGTTATCTGGCTGGACAACACATGGAAGGTTATCATGTCCTTACTATCATGTGCTTTTGCAGTAAGTGTCGTTAACTAATATTTCATGAAAGTTTATGTCTTCAATTTGTTTCATTTACAATATTACATTTACAATTTGTTTCATATCCAGCAAGAGTTTAACTGGGACCCAAGACTTACGGAGACCGTCCGCACTGCATACCAAAACCAATGTAGAGCGTCTTTCAAATCCCACTTGAGTACATGGAAGAAGAAACTGAGAACAACAGCACCAACTGATATACCAGACTGGATGAAGGCCAAGAAAGCTCTCTTTAGCGGTTACATGAAGATCTGGAGAGATCCTGCAGTAGCAAAAGAAGCAGCCAAAAACTCCAGAAACCGAAAAAGCGAGAGAGGTGGTTTAGGCATGGCGATCCACAACAACGGTGCTAAGACCACAGAGCGGCTATGTGATGAAATGGTAATGGTTTTACATTTTTACATGAAGAACTAACTATTACATTCTTATTTGCTGCCTCATATTGTTACTTAAATTGTAATGGTTTGTTTTATTTGCATAACAGAAAGCTGCAAACAATGGGAAAGATCCTGATATGGTGACTTTCATTGATCTCATGCATACAAATAAAACCTCTGGAGTTAAGGACAACAAGGCCGTAAAGATTGCCGAGAGTGTTATGGCTAAGGTAACAGATATTAACTCACAGCGGCAAGCTCAAGGAGAAGACCCTCTCACACAAGCGGAGATTAATGATATCGTTCTACAAGTAAGTTTATTTTGGTTATTGCTTATGAAAAGTGTTACATAGAACTGATTAGTAAGTTACTCAAATTGTATACAAAGTGGCTTATATTAATTTAGATTCGATCTTTGAGTATGCAAATGTTTGACTGGTGAGCTGCACACAAAGTGATTGATATTTACAAGATATTTGACTCGTGAGCTGTATTTTGTTTTTAAATTTTTTAGGAGGTCCCCATCATCAACGGACGTCGTTTTGGGCTAGGTACAATAGCGGATAACAGTTACACCACTTCTTACAAGTCCGTGAATGCAGCTCATGAAAGTCAATTGCTAGAAGAGATTGAGACATTGAAGAAGTGTCAAAAGGAGAAAGATGCTGAAATCCAAGCGCAGAACACTAAGATTCAGTCTCAGAACAGTCAGCTTCAATCTCAGAACAGTCAGCTTCAATCTTAGAACATTCAGCTACAATATCTACTGCAATGCAATAAGCTAATCTTTGAGAAGTATGGTGATTGCCCTCCTCCTCCTCCTCCATTTACTTCGAGTACTAATGATGATGCTTCTAGTGATTCTGAAACGCAGGAGTAGATCTTATAATGACTTATTTTGTAATTTTTTGGGAATGTTTAAAATACACCTTTTGAGAATGTTTAGGTGTTCGGTTCTTTTTGTATTTGAATATTTTGACATTATTCAGGTTTCTATATAAAATATTCATGTTTCTATTTAATTACAAATTTAATTTAATTTTAATTATTAATTACAAAATGAATTTAATTTTAATGCATTTGTAATTTAATTAATAGAAACGTTCGTAGATAATTGGTAAGAATAGATAATAAAAAATTTCGTAGCAAATTAGTTGGAAGAGTGTAAAATATTTTTGGTAGGAAACTTGAAGAAATAATGTTTTCTACCAATATATTTTGGTAAGAAACTTGAAGAAATAATGTTTTCTACCAATATATTTTAGTAGGTAAACGGTAACAACTCGGTCATATGTTTGCTACGCATATCCTACCACTATTTTTGACCACTTTTTCTACAGCATATATTTCGTAGAATTTTTTTACGATTTTTCTATCAAAGTCGATTTTTGACGGCAGATATCCTACAACACTTATTTGTAGGAATTGGGTAGAAAATGACTGTTTCCTACCATTTAACTACAATATTCTGTGTAGAAAATTGTAATGTTTTCTTGTAGTGGTAGAAAGCTAAGTGTTGGGTTTTAATTAGGAAAGCAACAAGACTCAAATGAGCTAGAAGGAACTAGTTAAAGGGTGACGAACAATGATTTGTAGATTTGATTATTTACGTTTGATGTCATTGCGTGCGTGTAGGATAGAAAGCTAACTGAATATATACAACTGAATAAAGTAAGGAGAGGTGTTAGCAAAATCAGATAACTGTCAGTTTGGCATTAAATGAGGAGACATGATATTCTCCTCGCCGCCTGACATATGCATGAAATAGTCTGAGGTGATGTGTAGTTAATGCGATATAGTAATGCTACAACAAGAATTTTTGAGGGATGTGATAAGAAAATAAAAATATCTGGGTACACCTAGGTTTATGGAGTGTCAGCTGATAACTTGGAGAATAAATGTACATATTATATACGTGGTAAATGTATACATATACTATATTGTAGCGTGATATTTGATATGATAGAGGTGTATGTTTATAAATGAGTAGCGTAAACTAAATGTAAGTCTACAAAGAGTAATAGTTATATACTAACTTTGATAGATGGTTATTATCTAGTTTGTATTGTTATTCAAATGATGGGTGGTTTTATATCTGAAGAAAAATGTACACA